AGATCGAAGAAAAACTTTGTTATTAATTGACTTTGTTTACATCAATATTCGCGACTGTTCCACTATAGAATGATTTATGGATGCTAAACTATTTATGGTAAAAATTCACAGTCATTTTATTATACATTATCCTGAGCAATATTCAAATATACAAAGTGTCCGGTGACTTTTTTCCACTGAGTGTACATATCAACGTATAATCTCACACCTGCAGCTGAATCCAAATCATAGTATTAGGTTTATCACATCTCTGTTTCCTATATTGAGTTTGGCTGGCTGGCCATTTTCAATTGTCTGGCCTTCCTTGCTCATCTTAACTTCCATATTTAGAGCATTGCTGCATTACCCAAAGCAGAGGTAAACTCATCAACTCCTGTTTCAGGGTCCAGCTTACCCATATTTACCTTAGTTGCACTTGGGCTTATTGCATACCTTAGTTGGACTTCCACTGCATCTGTCCTATGTGAGTTTGCTACTACAAGTGCTGAGAGGTCGGGGGGGGATGATAGGGATGATAATGGAGGCAGTTGGCTCTTGACCTCTTTGCTTAGCCTTTCTTACAGAGACAGCATATTTGTTTCTCATAATGGATTCAATCAACCCTTCAAAGAAGAATCATAGCATTTGTAAAAAAGTATTATAGTAGTCTTCCAGAGAGGTTGGGTTTTCAAGAATATCATGTCTCTCTTCTATAGTTTTTCTCAAATTCCATATAGCATTCCCAAGAGATTCACCAAATTTTCTACACTCTAAATCTTCCACTTGACTATATTATATATGTGTACCAAAATCTAGATTCCGTAATCTCATAGCTACTTTTGTTGCAAATAAACTAGGAGGACTACTTGATGTTTCTGGCATTGATGCTGTCAGCAGTGAGTTTAGATGTGTAAGAAACTTTGCTGCTTTTCTTCATTATCAGTCTTTGCAAGATTTGATATTAATATTGCTTTTGAAAATGTTTGTAGGCCATTTTTTATGTCATTATTATGATGACCACTTTCAGCACAAGTGGACTGTCTACTCCTGAACATGCAAATGCAATGCACACTTGTGGTTTTTGATGCTAATAAAGGACTGTCATCAAATACTGGGCATGACTTTAGGCCAATGCATGGAACCTGTATATTTCTTCCACCTACAACCCAACAGTGTGCTAAACAATTACCTCCTCTGCTGAAGAAATGTTTGTATTTGTTGCAGAATAAACACTGTTGCCAATGTATCATACTCATACTCATGGATCTATTACTATCCTTTTTTAGGCCTGGTTTGTGGAGCTTGCTGTTGTCAAAATTAAAATGGCTTGAACAAAATCCAAATTCATGCAAACTGAATCTAGTCTGCTCTTCTATGTCCATGTCTATTTCCCAAGTTCCAATTAAATGAGATAGCAGCTCTGACTCACAATGTGCAAGTTTTCCTGATGCTCTATCAACTATAACACATGGTGACAACTTGCATGGTTTATCTTCTGGAATACTTTTATCTTCTGCATTTCCTTCAGAAACTTTATTATTATGTTCATCGTCATGTTCTTCATCAATAGCTTCCTCTTCCATCTTTCGTAGTTCTTCATCGGCCAATATGGTGGTTGACTTAGGGACGAAAAATTTGAAATCGAAGTAAAAAAAATCAGCAATCGTCATAGTAATACGTAGCACCCAAATGTCCGATTGTGTGACATCTCGTCGGAAAGTAATTGTTTCCGTTCATATTTTTTTGTTTCGTTGTTCTACCCCCTGATTTAAACTTCAATTCTCATTTCCGATAATCGATTTTATCAAGAATACTCGTAGATAAGGCTTTGATGCATTTACAGTGTGTTAAGAAAAAAATGGTGGTGACGAAAAATTGTATATCTCAATGATTACAAATGTAAATTAAACAAAT